AGAGACGCTGTGTGGATTGTTTTGGCCGACGGTAATTGTCGCCTCGGCAGTGTTACCAGTTTGGGAGTCGGGCCGCACCAAGCCGATCCGGAAGATCTAGGAGGCACTCTGTTTCGCGAGTTGCTCGCTGATCTCGCATGCTGGCTACCGTCCACTTTTGATGAGACGGCCTCGGGTCCAGGAGGGACACTTTTTCAGCGGCGAAGTGGCACTTGGGACCGTTCGGACTAGGATTGATGCAAAGGCGATTGCTCTTCCTGGTAACTGGGACATTGTTGATCGGATCATAGCCTCGGCACCCAGTCCGGAGTGGGAAGTGGATGCCAGTGACCATGCCGCTATCCTCGTTGACCACCTTTATCGGGGCCTGGCGGGCGCTTTCCCTCAGAGCCGCAAGCGAATGCGAGGGCCCTATTTTACGCCTGAGACTGAGAGATTGCATGGCTTGGTCGCCGGTCTGCGGCACTCAGTGCGTAACAGAGATACAGCGTACAATTGGACTCTGCTCCCATGCGCCCTTGCGGCTTGGCGATCCGACTCTTGTGCCTTTCACTCCTACTTTTCAGGGCGATGGCTATGGAGGCTGCAAATACGACGTGCGCTCGACTGCATGCTCTTGCGTCGATACGGCCGGGCCCTACGTCGTAGCTGCCGTGCCGACCGCCGTGCACACCTGGCTGAGCTTTCTCTTCAGGTCGCTGAGTCCCCTTGTTCCGAGGTGCATCAGGCAATTAGGCGGGTTCTTCGCCCCAAGAAATATGGGGGCAAGGGCAATTCCCCTTTGCCTATGCTTAAGAAGGCGGACGGTTCAGTGTGCACCTCTCACGAAGAGACCTTGGCTGTTTGGCGTGACCACTTCCGTGTTTTGGAAGCGGGCCGGGAAGTTGATCATGCCACACTTGTCAATGAATGCAGGTCCCGCCAGTGTGCCTTTGAAGGCTCCGATGAGGTCGAGGCTCTCGATATTCCCTCGTGGGCTCACCTGCACGCCGCGTTCAGGGCAACCGCGCCCCACAAGGCTTGCGGTCCTGACCTCCTTCCGCCCGTTATTTGCACCCTCTTCAGTCAGCGCCTCACAGAAGCCTTTTGGCCAATTATGTTGAAGGCCGTGCTTAGGTCAAATGAAGCTGTGGGACTCAAGGGAGGTGTTTTGCACAGGATTGCGAAGCCATCGGCTGTGGCCAATACTACGGCAGGATACAGGGGCATCCTCGTCCAGTCCTGCCTCTCAAAAGTTCTCCATAGAGCTACTCGGCACCTTGCGGTGGACCACTGGTCCCGCCATTTCCTCCCGCTTCAGATCGGGGGAAAAAAGGGCTGCACTGCCGCCTTTGGACATTTCTGTTCTCGGGCATTCTTGGCAGACACCCGCGCGTCTGGCCGCTCGGCCGTCATCCTGTTTGTCGACATCTCCGCCGCTTACTATGGAGTTGTCCGTGAAGCAGTTCTTGGCGCGAGCAAACACTCGCAGCCGCTGGAAGCCCTTGTAGCCTCCCTTGGTCTGTCTGCGGACGACCTTCAGCGTCTCCAATACTTTGTTGATTGTGAGCCAGTTTTGCAAGCACAATCTGCAAACCGGCTTTTTCCACGAGGTGGCCGAGGAGCTGCACAGGAATACGTGGTTTGTCCTTTCAGGGGACCGCAGTGTGATCGAAACCTGTAGAGGGACCCGACCCGGCGGATCCCTTGCGGACATTATTTTTAACATATTGTTCGGGAATCTTAGCCGCAGGTGCGAGTCTACTTTGAAGCCTTTCATCCCGCGCATACCATGGTCTGGACGCCGCTCTCCTTGGCCCGTTCCCTCTTCCGAAGAGGCTGCCCTCTGTGTTGAGGCAAGCGATGTCGTGTATTCGGATGATCTTGCCAGCTTCCTAGTCTGCGATCGTGCCGACCAGCTGTCCAAAGCCCTTTCTAGTGTGGCCGCCGATACGATCGACACTCTGCTGCCGCACGGCCTGCATGCCAATATCGGCCCCACAAAGACCGCCGCAATTGCTGCGCCTGTTGGCCCGGGTTCCCGTGCGGTCAGGAAGGCACTTTTCAGTCAGGGAGGTGGCCGTCTTGCCATTCTTCCTGAAAATCGAGGCGGCCTGCGCTTGGACCTTGTTGCTTCTTATAAACACCTTGGTTCCATTGTCTCCCATGATGGTTGCCTTCTTCTGGAAATCCGCCACAGGTTGTCAGCAGGCAGGTCGGCCATGCACGAAGGAAAGCAGAGACTATTTGCCTGCCAGGCCATTCCGTTGTCACAGAGAGCCGTTATTTTCCGTGCTCATGTGATGTCTGCTGTGCTGCCAGGAGCTGGCACTTGGAGGGAGCTCAATGCGCAGGAGTGGTCTCTCTTTGGGATCATAAGTCTTTATCGCCAGCTTCTTTGTTTACGAACGAACGGGGGGTTCAGATGTACGACCCCCCAGATCCTTGGCCGAACTGGGCTCTCTTCACCGCAAGCCCTTCTGCACGTCGAGCGCCTCCGCTTCATGGGGCAGATGGTTCGCAACGGGCCCGATGCAGCATGGGCGCTTCTCTCTCGCTTCGAGGCTTTCAAACGTGCTTTGCGTGCTGCCGCCAGATGGCTCCTTGATGCCGTGGGAGCAACATCTGCTCTTGGCGACATTGAAGCGGATTGGCAATCCTGGGAGTCACTAATCCGCGGGTCCTGCGGGGCTTGGAAGGCACTTCTACGTCGGGGCGAGGCCTGGCATCAGCTACGAATGGCCCAGGAGGCGGCTCTCGACGCCTTCGCCCGAGACTCCTGGCCCAGTCGATCATGCTCTCAGCCAGACCCCATGGACGACTGTACTCATGCCTGCCTCCTCTGCGGTATCGCTTTTCGCTCTCGACAGCAGTGGGGCGCCCACGCGCATAGAACCCACGGGTACCATTCAAAGGCCCACGACGTTGCAGCAGGCCGCAAATGTCATGCTTGCGGGCTTCTGGTTGCCACGGAGCGTAAACTCCGCATCCACCTCAGGATGAGTCTGGCCTGCGTTCAGCGGCTCGAGGCCATGCGCTCTCAAGAGACGCTTCGTGCTGATATGTCTAGAGCGCATGAGCTTGCACCAGCCGTGCGCGGTGCGGGAAAGCGCATGCTGGGACCTCCCGGTGACGAGATGTGCTCTGCACTTACGGCATCGCTGACCTCGTGGACTCCGCCTCTTTCTGATTTGGATGAGGCCCTGTACCACCTTGTCTGCAGCCATATCGCCCCCCTGCCGGTCCTCCGTCGTACGCTGCACGAGTGGTGCGATGCTCTACCTGAAGGGGCCATTCGGCAGGCAGGAGAGGATGTTCTCCTTGTCCTACATCCCACCCACTTATGTGATCGCCTTGCGGGCTCTCCAGCCTCATCTGGTGTACACGATGACGCATTTGTGCCGGACGTTCAGGTGCTGCTGTGTCGGTCCTCGCCTGACCTATCACCCTTGATTGGGGTCGGGTCTCTGCCTCGGGACTGGACTTGTCTCGAAATGATCGCCACTGGCCCTGTCCTGGAATTGGCCCTTGAGGACATACCTGGTTGGGGCATGTCCGCTGTGTCAGGCGCTTTTGTCACGTTTCCCCCTCCTCCCAAGGCCGTTCTTCCGGTGTTCTCCCCGGCCCCCTGTACACTTAAGGAGCTCCGCTCCCTCAGGGTCTGGACCGATCTGGTTCTTAACGCTATTAGGGTGCTTCTGAGCATCGCCAGACGTGGGCACCCGGTCCTGATTCGTTTTCCAGTTTCGAGCAGGGACCTAATGCCAGTATCAGGGTGGCTGAAGAAGGCTGCAGGAGAGGGAGCAACTGGGCACCACGCCCCTTTCTGTTTCACCATTGACTTCAGTTGTTCTCGTTTGCATTAGGTACGTCTATCGGAGGGTAGGCCTAGGGCCTAGGGCGGTAGGTTCTTTGGATGTTTGAGGTCTCAGCCTTTGGGGGCCAAATGACCCTTATAAGTAGGGGCCCTATACCCTTCTACCATGAATCCCAAAATGGTATATATGACCCTTATAAGTAGGGGCCCTATACCCTTGTACCATTACTATGAATCCCAAAATGGTCTATGAACCTGAAAACCTTTTGGGGTTCATTTCGTCCTCAAGGAGGGTTTTTGGTTGGCCTTCTCGGTTCGAAGGTGATAGGGGGGCCTAACTACAAAGTCTAGTGACTCTGTGCTAGCTTTGGGTTTAGGGCTTAGGGTTTTATGTGCGAACTCTAGTGCTTTGAGTTTAGGAAGTTTAGGGTGGCTGAGGGGCCCGAAGTTTAAGGTCTGGAGCTTTGGGTTTGCGGTTTAAAATTTCAAGGACAGAATGTCTGACGTTGTGCAGGGCTTGATCCTTTGAGGTACCTGGCTCAAATTCCAGTTGCCTTAGTGACCGTAGTGTCCCCGATGTAATTGAAGTTGCCATAATAGGGATCTATAGTAAACAGGTTTCCTTATCCTGGTAACTGAAACCAAACTCCTTCATCTGTGGTGGAACGGTTGCCTCTTCGCTTTGCCTCCACTCCTCCGAAGAGCAGTCGGGTCAGTATTTCATACATTACAGTCTGCAGGTTCCTACGTAGGTTGCCTGGGCCCACAAGAGGCCGGAATAAGTAACCAGAAGATCGAGTTGTTTAGAAGTTTAGCCAAGGTGTCCCAACTTTTAATGCTCGGTTGTTTATTTGTGTTTGCCGTGACACTGATTGCAACAGCACTCAGAGCCAAGCTAACAATCGTGACCGCACTGGTAACCAGTACCGATAGTAGAGATTTTACAGACTTTACAGACGTATATTCCAGCAGTATCTAGGTCTTAGTGATGGTGCTGGGCGAGATCCTAACAACACTTGTGGTGATAACCAGAACAGCAGTAGCCGCCGCAAAAGATTAACACATGGACACCAATCTCCGCCGTCAAACTCCTTGCGAGTGTAAGTGTGTTGACGGTCATAAGAGCAACCCTTCAAGCTTTCGTTCCCCCGAAGCTCAGTTTGCAAGCCCAAAGCCCCGGCCCAAAGCCCCTCGGCGGTGGCAGGCAAGCTGATCGACGACGTCGTGTATCACGCCTTTCAGATTTTCGATCTCAACGGAGGTCGGGCGAGTCTCTGACTTGGTGCACCTTGAAACCGCCTTGAACCCTTGTAGAGCCCGGTATGGGAAGGCGAGACGTTTCTGGATGCTGCTCCCACCTTACATCGGCAACTACAGGGCCCAAAGTACCCCATGATAACGATGAGGTATTCGTGGTTTAGTATGGCAAGACAGCGATACAATCTGCTTGTCTAGGTTCCCCACTGCCGTTGTCGCCTTGTTCGTTTTTTGTTGGATGCTTGTGACGAAAAACCGACTGGAGCCATCGACAACAAGACTGTAAACTCTCGATCCGATATCGGTAGGTTTAGGGGTTTAGGGTTTACTGGTTGAGAGGCTTGGGGCTTGGCTTTGAGATTTTCGACACTTCCAAAAACCGGAATACTGCATTTTCCCCGGGTCTCGACACAGTGTCAGCCCAAGGCACTAGTCCTTGACATCCTGATCTAGTATGGGTCCCATTTTAAATTTTTAAATTACTGTGTTCACAACGGCTTGGGCCTGCTGCAAGGGGCTCATAGTAGAAAATGAGTCCAGAAACTCCAAACCGTTATATGGGGGCTTCCGAAAATTAGGGGTACCGTATTTTGGGGTCCTTATATTAAGGATCCTATTATGTAGGGTACTATATTAGGGTCCCCTATTTTCGGAAACTCCCATATATCAAATCCACAGCCTCCCGGATCCTCAGATTCTAAAGCCTTCACTGTAGAGCAGCCCAGCACGGTAGACAAAGATCATTTCAATTCCTCAAGCTCTACAGGCACTGAAGGTTTCTGAATGTGTTAGTTAGGGAAACATGTGACAGCCGAGGAAAAGCCCGAGTAGAATCCCAAGTCCCCGGACAGCAACACATCTAACAGCCCTGCGGAAGCCCAAAACCCTGGAGCACAAACACGCTAGAGCGCCAAACTTACGCTGCAAGCCCTAACCGTAACCCTCATCAACCCCATCATAGAACTCTTACTTACAAAGCCCTACGAAGCATTGTTCAAAGCAACAGGCTTTTGTCCCCAATTCGATCTCCAACCCTAACCCTACCGCACAACACAGAAACGAAGAACAACAGCGCATGCCACCAGATCCTGAAACTTAAAGCCCAAACCCTAAACCCTAA